CGGGAGATGAGGACGATGGTGGAGTCGGTACAGACGATGCTGCTGCACATGGGCGTGCAGCACCACTGGTGGCATCTCGCTCTGCGGCAGGCCGTCTGGGTTCGCAACTGCCTGAAGCGGTCTTCGCTGCCCGTGGGGACGACGCCGTACCAGCTCCTCACCGGGCAGAAGCCCGACTTGTCGATGGCGTGGGTGTGGGGCTGCATGGCACAATTCCTCGTCCCTGAGCAGCAGCGCGGTGGGAAGCTGAAGCCGAAGGCCCACCTCGGCGTGTCGGAGGAGAGCAAAGGCTGGGACTCCTCGACATCACCGCCAACCGGGTGGTCACCACGTCGGACGTGGTGTTCTACGAAACTCTGTCGCTGGAGGTGTGGAAGTCGAACCTCGGGCTTGCATCGAGGCGGACGCGGGCCAACCCGCCGACGGACACCTCGACGGCGACGCTTCCTCTGCTCGCCGAGGTCGGTGAGCGGGCTGATGAGGATGTCGCGGTCGCCCCTGCCTTGCCATCTCCTGCCCCTTCTTCCCATTCCCTTCCCGTCGAACTGCGTGGCCTGACTCCGGTGTCGGCCTCCGGCGATGAGGGGAGCCCTGGGGCGTCGCCTGTGGCGCCGGTCAAGAGCATCGCCGGTGGCCGACGTGACGCCCAGCCAGTCGCGGAGAAGCGGGCCGCGGAGGTGCATCCAACTTTGGACACCGCGAAGGAAACCACGAAGGACACTGCGAAGGAAACCGCGAAGGACAACGCGGAGGAAACCGCGAAGGAAACCGCGAAGGAGACCGCGGAGGAGACCGCGGAGGAGCCCGCGGCTAGCAGGCAGCAGACAGGGGAACAGGCAGCAGCGGAGGAGTTGGCAGGGGAGCTTTCGAACGGGAAGCGCGTTTCAGAGAAGTCGTCGATAGGGGAGCCGTCGAACGGGAGGCGCGTTTCAGAGAAGCCGTCGACAGGGGAGCCATCAAACGCGGAGCTCGCTTCAGAGGAGCGGACGACAGGGGAGCAGTTCGATGATGGCACATCGAGCGACGTGGTGGAGGTGCAGCCCGGACCTCGGAAGTCGGGCCGAATTCGGAGGCCACCCGACTTCTTCGTCCCCGCTGCCTTCACCACGGTGTACGATGTGGACAACGATGACCTGGCGTATGATGACGCCGAGGACGATGAGGAGTTTTCGGAGCTCGACCTCGACATGCACGCCGATCCCGAGCACCGTTGGGACATTTCGACCATGACAGTGAAGGAGGCGTTGGCGAGCTGGAAGGGCCCGGCGGTGAAGGCCGCCATGGAGGAGGAGATTCGTAGCCTCATCAACATGGGCACTTGGGAGCTGGTCGAACGCCCGCCGGGGGTGAACATAATGAAGAACCGGTGGGTGCTGACAACGAAGTACCGCATCGACGACACTGTCGAGCGCGAAAAAGGCGAGGCTGGTCGTGAAAGGCTTCACGCAGGTGTATGGCGCTGACTACGACGAGACGTACGCGCCGGTGAGCAGCTACGTCACGCTGAGGATTTTCCTCAGCATCGTCGCCGTCCTCGACCTCAACCTGATGTAGCTGGACATGAAGAACGCCTTTTTGCAGAGCAAGCTCGACCGCGTGCTGTACATGTACCAGCCGGACTACTTCAACGACGGGACCGGCCGGGTGTGCAAGCTGCTGAAGAGCCTCTATGGGCTAAAGCAGTTGCCGCTGCTGTGGTACACGGCTCTCAACGACGTGTTGGTTGGAGCCGGGTGGAAGAAGAGCCAAGTCGATGAGGCTCTGTACTTCAAGGCCGGCGACGACAAGGTGACCTGCTGGGTGCTGGTCTACGTTGACGACCTTCTCGCCTCGAGCAGCAGCACCGCGATGCTGAAGGAGCTGAAGGAGCTGCTGGAGGCTGCTTTCGAGCTGCGCGAAATTTCACCGGTGCAGAAGTATCTCGGCTTGGAGATCGTGCGCGACAGGCCGGCGCGAAAATTGTGGATGCACCAGCAGGGCTACGCCGACAAGCTGCGCAGGTGCTTCATCGACGACGAGCAGACCGGGCGCACCCCGAAGACGCCGGTCTCCATCGCCGCCTACGCGGAGCAGACATTCGACGACGAGGAGGCGCAGGAGCGCGAGGAGGAGGAGTACAGGCAGAAGGTCGGCTCGCTGCAGTTCGCGGCGACGACGAGGAGGCCGGACATCGCATTCGCGTGCAGCAAGCTGGGGAGCGGCCTCACGGTGAGGAGCGACCAGCACTGGCGCGAGGTCGACCGCTGCCTCGCCTACCTCGCCAACACGCGAGACACCGCCCTGGAGTTCGGCGGTGGTCCGGAGTCACTGGAGTTGGTCGGCTACGTGGACGCCGACGACGCCGGCGACAAGCAGAACCGGATGAGCACGGGCAGCTACGTGTTCGTCTACGGAGAAGCCGTGGTCTCCTGGTCGAGCCAGCGCATCAAGTGCGCGACGCTGTCGTCGACCGAGTCGGAGTACGTGGCGGCCGTCAAAGCCGGCACGGAGGGACGTCGCCTTCGCTTCCTCCTCGCGGAGTTCCAGCGGCTGGACGCCGGAAAGCCGACTGTCCTCAGGGTGGACAACAAGTCGGCCATCACGGTCGGCGAGGGCATGGGGTTGACGGGCAACCTCAAGCACATGGAGCGGCGACAGGCTTGGCTGCAGCACATGGTGAAGCGCGGGAAGTTTTCGCTGAAGTACATCCCGACCGCTGAGCAACCGGCCGACTTCCTGACGAAGGCGCTGCACTATCCGGCCTTCAACCGGTGCTCCGTTGCAATCGGCCAAGTGCGCCTGGCCGATGTGGGCGACGGTGACAACGACGTGCAGTAGTGGGTGCCATGCTCTTTTGCATGGCTGGTGCGGTGACAGGCGTGCTGTGCGTGCCGACGGGCTATTCTCTGAGCAGTACTGCCGTGTGGGCCGGGGGGGGGGGGGGGGGGGGCCCAAGCGTGAACGCGGCAGGGGAGTGTCAACGGGAGTTGTGTTTGGCCCCGTCCTCGCTTGGGCAGAGCCGACCGCGGGAGGACCGTGGGAGCCGCGAAATCGCGGGAGGACCGCGGTGGCCGCGAAATCGCAGGAGGACCGCGGTGGCCGCGAAATCGCGGGAGGACCGCGGTGGCCGCGAAACCGCGGGAGGACCGCGGGGACCGCAAAACCGCGGGAGGACCGCGGGGGCCGCGAAACCGCGGGAGGACCGCGAAATACCCGGTCAACCAGGATACCCGGGCGACGTGCGCGAAAGTCGCCGGGGGTGTTTTCTGCGAGTAAGACCTCGGGGGTGGTATCCCGAGGTCGACGTGGCTGGTGGGCGCCGTCACGGGTGGAGTGTTTGCGCTGGGCATGTGACGGGGAGTTGGGCGCCAACCAGCTGCACGCACCTGCGAAGCTGGTGCACCATTGTCAAGCGGGTGCAACGCTGTGCAGCTGACTTACTGCAGCGTTGGCACACCGCGGACTTGCAACGTTGGCAAGCCGCGACTCTGCTCTACTGGAGCGCGGTCGACCAAGTCGTGCTGGCACGTGGTCGACCGTGCTGCGCTGGCAGTCGACCAGCAGCCGTGCTAGGTCTGATGTAGTCTGTGTTGCCAATGTTGATGGAATCACTTTTGAACTTTTGTTGTCATGTTTTCCTAATGAAACTCTTGCCAATTTTCCCGGTGAACTAGCAAGTAGTGTTAGCAATTGTAATCGAATAAGGAACGAACGAACGCTACGATCACTCTTGCCCCGTGCCTAGCCCGTAGTCTAGCTCCCGTTGATGCTCACACCCCTCCCACGCCTTTGCTGGCTTGGGAATAGGCCCAGACAAGCGCAGCCACGTGACCCGGTGAAAGAAAAACGCTCGGAACGAGCGTTTTTTACCCCAAAACGCGGAAGGATCCGCACATGTGCAGGAAGTGCAGGGGGCGCTCTTCATTCGCGAGCGATGATGGCCGATGATGCTCGCAACCCTCCCACGCCCTTGCTGGCTTGGTAATAGGCCCAGACAAGTGCAGCCGCGTGACCCGACGAAAGAAAAACGCTCGGAACGAGCGCTTCCACCCAAAAAACGCGGAAGGATCTGCACATGTGAATTGACTCCTGCATTTTTGCACGTAACAAATACAAATGATTACCGAGCATGAAGATGAAATGTCCAGATTATCCGAAGTGTCGAAAACAGTTGAAGCATCGAGATCGCCGCATGTAGATCAGGGCTAATTTTTGGATTTGACCAAACCTTGTGATCAGTGTACCACTTGCTCAAAAACCTGATTATCAATGTGACCCCTTGTGAAAATTCTTTTCCATCAGGGTAAAGCTGGTTTTCTAAAAATCTACCCTGTCGCATCAGTGTACGGTATTTGAGCATGTGCAGCGTCATGAGGTCTCCAAGGCATGCGTCGCAAAGCCACGTGCGCATCCAGCTCTTGATGCTGTTCTAGCGACTGAACCCCCTCTCACACTCCACTATGCTCAGGGGCAGCACAGCGAGGGCCTGCCAGAGTGTCATCAGGTTCGGATAGCTGTGCTGCCAATCCCGGCTCTTCAACATGCCTTGAAGGCCCTGGAGGAAATCTTCCCCCGCGTGATGGCGCGACATGATGTGGCAGAAACTCCTCAGCTCCTTCGCCGCCTTGAAATCGAATCCTGACGGGGAGGTGGTTTGGGGCGATGGAAGTAGTTGGGAGAGCTTGTCAGTTAATGCGATGTTGTAACGTGCATGCAAGGAACAAATCGAATCAATTGCACGTGTCAATTCTACCCTCACTTTGAAGCAGTCCGCCAAACAGCTCATCGTTTGCCGCAAGTCACTCGAGTGTCTTCAAATCGCGCTGGTCATCTCTGGATGGCCACGATTCAACTTGATACAGCTTCACGCCGCCCAACTGCTGCAAGTCCCACATGCGGTACTTCATTCGCGCGATGATTTCCTTTGCGAAACCCGTACACAGCTTCTCGCAGTCAGCAAGCGTGCCCCCAAACTTGTGTTTCTTGATAGGTGTCTTGCTCAGATCGAACTTGTGTGATGTCTACCGCCCCTCCGCGTCAATCCCTTCAACCACCATCGTCCTGTTGTCGCCTCCATGCTCTTTGATGAACTTGGACAACATCGTGCTGACCCCGCCGCCAAATGTCTCGCCGTACTGGATGTACTGGTGCGTGATGATGGTGATCGTGTGGTCGACTTCCTTGGCCACTTGTGTGATGTCCACCTGCCACACACCAAGCACGTCGCAGAGGTCAGACACAAAAAGTGTTGGCATTACCAAACTTAAACATGTACGCAAACACACTTGCCTTGCGGTGCTGGAAGAAGCGGTTGAGGGAGTTAAGCACGGCAAGAATATCTGCGAGAAAGTACAGACAGAAATGGAATTTGAACGTTTGCACTGTTGCAGCAATCTTGTGCTCGTACTCCACAATCATGACAATTGCCGCCCCGAACACTACGCATAGCCGCGCTATAGCGTCTCCTCGCGATAGCCATCTGACGTTGAACAGTCCTTGGTGTTCGAGGTTTGTCTTGTGTATCTCTTGTGCCAGCTCCTTGAACCTCTCGTACCAAATGTTGGAATGGCAGATGATTTCCCCCACAGCACACACAGCAGCGTCGGTCATGTTAAGGTCGGGGAAAGCTTTCGCAGCATCCTTGACCACCAAGGCTTTACTGCAGCACACCAAGAAGGAAGATTAGTAATGCAGTAAGAGGTGATGTACTTCATCGCGTTAGGATAAATTCACAGTCATTAAAGTAGAGCTTACCGATGCGCTACGCAGTGACATCCGATCTGCGGCACGCGCTCTTGCAAGCGGCTAACCAAGCCGCTCTTCTCCCCCATCATCACAGAAGCTCCGTCGGTACCGATGCGGGACACCCGCTTGATGTCCATGCCAATCGACTCCAGGTGGCTTGTGAGCACGGTGAAAAGCGAGGACGCATCGCATTTGTGGACCGTCAGCAGCGCCAGAAATTCCGTGACGGACACGCCGCGCTTGAGGAACGTGGCAAACACAATCAAGTGTTTGCCACGAGCACGATCCGTGCTCTCGTCGTAGGTCAGGCCGACGAAAGGTGAAGAGAGCAGATGCTGCAGCTGCTGCGTTTTCTGGAACTTTGCCATCACCGACGCCATCTCGTTGAATCCGTACCTGCGATAAGCCGAGGGGAAGGTATTGAAGGAAAAGGTCTTGTAATAACATAAGATGCAGCCAAAGCGTTCAACCCAAACATGCATACATTTGCTGCGTGATGTACACGCCATAGGACTGGAGCGGTATGTCCTCGACTCCCTCCTCTGCGAGGAAGCCTATTAGCTTCAGGAACATAGCGATCGGCGCGTCATGGTCGCAGATGAACTCCACGCCGCGCATGAGACGTGTAAGCCGCGTGCCCTCCTTGTCGGTGTTGGCGAAATCGTCGATACGCTTCTGCTTCTCGATCTCCGCCATGAGCGTCCGCTGCCGTTTCATGGCTTCGTCGTGGCGGCCGCTCAACTCGTGACAGCGCATCGATTCGAGCTGCAGATCCCGTCCCCCCGTTCCGTTCCGTCCAAACTTCGCGTCGTCTTTCCCATGCTCCACGCAAATGCTGCATCGCAGAATGGGCAGGCCCTCCTCGTTCTTGTCAAGCAGCAGCCAGTCAAACTTCGGCAGCCACTGCGTGATGTATAGCTGATGCGCCTTTAGAAATTTCTCCTCAGCCTTCTCAGCATCGGTGAGTTCACGGGACGCACGCTTCGGAGCTTGGACAAGAGCGGGAGGCGAAGTCGGTTTCGCAGGGGGCATGCAGAACGGTAGGACGCCTTGCGCGAAGCGACGCCGCTTCTTCGAGGCTACAGACGATGACTCACCCACCTCTGTGATGCTGAAAGTGGCGGGAGCACTTCCTGGCGCGACGGGATTAGAGGCACATGGCGTTGCAACGGGCTCTTTCTCATTGCTGCAAGCAGACGGGCCTGCAGTGCCAACAGGCGGAGGGTTCGCATGCAGCGCTCGCAGAAAATCGAGGCCTGTCCGCGCGGGCAGATCATTCAGTGGCTCGTTAGCAGCCTCACCATCGTCAGTCTCTGGTGGAGCCATGGCTCCTCTTGTGTAGCGGAAGAAAGGCCTACGTAGCCTAACTGTGCGTGTGTTCTCTGGTCTTGCAATGTGAAACCCCAAACATGTTCATGCCCCCAACCCTTTCTCGCCTCTGTTTCCTACCGTGCACGCAAACGAACTGCAGAGCCAGCCACAGACGTGCAAGGACCACGGTGCCCAGTGGGCTTGTGGGCACCGACTTTCTGTTGCAGTCAGCCATGTTTCCAGCTAACCTGGCCATGTTGTCATGCCGGACAAACATACCGAGTTGCGTCGGTGGCGCTGCCTACAAAGAAACTGTAATCCTGGCCAATGGTGGCCCACTGTGTGCCAGCACATGAGTGGTCAAGGCCGAAATTCCGGCTTCGACAATTGCCTCTCGGGAATCCCAGATTACGGGAAAGGGGGGGTGGGTGTACTAGGGGAGGGGGGGGGGGGGGGGGAGGTGGGGTACTCGGTACAGGGTAAAACCCGTTACGGGAATCGGGAACCCTTAGGCATCAGTGTGCCTTACACAAAAACTCTGGCACATCAGGGTAAACCTAACACCCAAAAAATATACCCTAGGCCATCATTGTGACTATAAAAAACCACCGTGATTATCAGGGTATCAGAGTGATTTATGTGAAGAATGAACGAGGAATGAAATCAACTAGGAAGCAAGTGGTTACAAATGTGAAAACCTAAAAGAGTTGTTCCCCATATTGTCAACCCCACTACAGCCTACAATATGGTTCTGACACACCCCCATAGGCAAAGTGGGGGACAAACAAGAGAACAAGAAAAGGTCAAGCTAAGGGTGGATCACAACGTCACCACACATTTCGAGCACAAGTTCAAGGCCACAAGGCCAGTTCACATGCAGGATTATAAATCAAGTTGAACAAGCAGGACAGTGATCTCAACCTAGCAAGGGCAAGCATGCAGGTGCAGGTATATATAGATCACAGTACAAGCAAAGCCAAGAGGTGAGTAAGTGAGGCCCTGCAGGCACAAGACCTAGCATAGCACAGAAACGCTGATGATCACAATGCTGAAGTGCCTTGGTGAAGATATCAGCAGTATTGGCTCGAGAGGCCACGTAAGCAAGATGAAGCTGGCCACGCTGCTGCAACTCTCGAGCAAGGAAGTAGCGTAGAGCAATGTGCTTCGTTCGGTGCTCCAGTCTGTGCTTCTGACATAAGGCCAGCATGGCCTTGTTGTCGATGTACAAAACTGGAGGAGAACGAGGCGGCTCTCCCAAGTCTGTCAGCAGGTAGGTGAGCCAGTGTAACTCGTGTGTAGCCATGGCCCCAGCGTAGATCTCAGCCTCACAACTGGAGCTGAGAACAGAGGACGAGCGGGTAGACCGCCACGAAATAGAGCCGGAACCAAGGCTGAAGGTGTAACCCTGTAACGACCGCTGCGTAGCCAAGTCGTCAACCCAAGAAGCGTCTGCGTGACCAGTGAGGACAACTCGAGCCCGTCCTCCAAGCACGAGCCCCATGCCCGACGTACTGCACAGGTAGCGCAACACCCTCTTAGCTGCAGCCATGTGCTCTGGTTGGTGTCTCCCAGGAGCAACATAGCGCGCCAAGATGCTAAGAGGGTATGCCAAGTCAGGTCGAGTGCAGGTCATCAGGTACATGAGGCAGCCAACAAGCTCTGGGTACGGGCCACTCGGCTCTACGGACTCATCCGAAGGCAGAGCTGAGAGCGAGTGGCGAGTAGACAGAGGAGTGGCCTGAGGCAAGGAGTACGTGAAGTTGAAGCGCTGAAGGACCTGCTGCACCATGTGTGACTGAGTCAAGGTAATGGTGCGCCGTGCTCTGTCCCGGGTGATCTGCAAGCCAAGATAGCTGCGCAGCTCACCCAGGTCTGTGCACGTGTGTCGCTTCTGCAGATCTCACTTCACGTGGGCGAGTCCCTCAGTGTCAGCAGTGGCAAAGACCAAGTCGTCGACGTACACGAGGATGTAGAACGGCGGCAGCGAAGTGTCGGTGCGCAAAAATAGCGACGGGTCGGCAGTAGAAGGAGCAAACCCAAGAGCCGCAAGCGTAGTCCTCAGTGTGTCATGCCACTCACGGGGCGCCTGGCGGAGATCGTAGACTGGCCGCCGGAGGCTCCACTAGGTACCAGGAGGAAACGACCCAGTGAAGCCAGGTGGGCGGCGCAGCCAGATCTCCTCGTGCAGGCTGCCCTGTAGGAAAGCAGTGCTTAAGTCAAGAGAGTGAAGCTCGTAGTCACGCTGAGCGGCGACGTGCAGCAGACCCCGAAGAGTGGTCATCTTCGGGGTCGGGGAGAAGGTCTGGAAGAAGTCAACTCCCTGTCGCTGACTGAAGCCTCGAGCAACGTAACACGCCTTGAAGACAGGCGGAGAACCGGCGGTCGCTTCACCCTAAAAATCCACATGCCACTGACGATGCTCGCCCCAGGAGGGGGAACCTCGTCGACGTAGGTGCCTGTGGACTTCCAGGATGCCATGTCTGCGTCCATGGCTGACTGCCACTAAGAGGAGTAGGGACCCTCTATCGCCTCTTCGTTAGAGCGCGGGGTCGGGATGTCTGGTGCATCCGGGTCTCCCTCAGGTGCAAGCAGCATGGATACGAGATGAGGTACAGCAGCTGCAAAGCACTCAAAGTCCTCCTGCCTGTCCTCAAGGACGTCCGTGCCAAGAGCACACTCACCCCCGACGGACGGAGGACAGACAGACTCAGACTCAGCAACAAGAATCGCAGCGTAGTCTGGACGACAGTGAGCAGCAAAGTCGACAAGGTCAGCAACTAAGGCAGACGCAGCAGTGGACTCAAAGGAAGGGTCAGTGACAACAGTGGCCAGGAGACGCGTGACAGTAGGACTAGCAGCACGAAGGGAGTCAGACTCCGGGTCAGCAAGGGCAGGAAGAGAGGACGCAGGAGGAGACAGCAGAGGGACACGCTGCGGAGCAGTGGAAGGACGCAGAGCCATCTGGTGCATGCCAGGGACAGGAGGAGAACGCTGACGCGAACTACGATGACCAGTGCGAGCAGCACGAACATGCGACGCAGGACGAGACGCAGGCTCACGATGCTCCGTAAGACCTCCTGTCAGACCAGTGTAACAAGAAGGAGCAGGCAGTGGGGAGGCGGCTGTAAATGTGACTCGGACTGGACATGCTGTGGACACTCTAAGGAAGGAGCATGACCAATAGAAGGTGGGAGACCAAGAACCTGCTCAAGGAGCGGAACGAAGTACGGCCGCGGCTGCGCATCGCCTCCAGAACCAGCAGGAACAGCACCAGCACCAACTCCAGCAGTACCACCAGCTCCAGCAGCACCCCCAGAAGCTCCATTAGCACGTCCAGCTCCAGCACCTCCAGCTCCAGCACCTCCAGCAGCTCCGACTCCAGCTGGACCACCAGAAGCCCCAGCAGCTCCAGCAGCGCTAGGGCCAGCACCTCCAGCAGCGGGTCCAGTAGTACCGCCAGCTCCAGCACCTCCAGCAGCTCCAGCCCCAGCAGCACCACCAGGCCCAGCAGCTCCAGTACCTCCAGTACGAGCACCTACGGGACCAGTGGCTCCAGAACCCCCAGCAGCTCCAGCAGCAGCAGGACCTCCAGCGTCCGTAGCACCACTAGCTCCAGCAGCACGGCTCTAGCGGCGAGCAAACCACTCGCGCAGCTGCTGTGGAGAGAGTGGCTCCCGCCGGGACGAAGCACCCGAAGGACCTCCAGGCGCAGCACCTCCAGACTCCACACGCGCAGGCTTAGCACCCTCAGGCTCCGCACCCCCAGACTTAGCAACCCCAGGCCCAGCACCCCCAGACTCAGCACCCCCAGGCTCCGCACGCTCAGGCTCAGCACCCCCTGACCCGGCACCCGTAGGCTCAGCACCCCTAGCAGCACCAGAGTCAACAGCTACCTCGACAGGCTCGACTGCGTCTACCTGGGACACACCGAAGGGGGCAGGACCCTGAGGGAGGAATGGGTCTACCGGAGGAGGACCTGGCGCGAGGAAGAGCGGCAGGGGGGGGGAAGGGGGACAGTGCGGTAGGGGAAGAGACGGTAGTAAGGAACCGACTCGTCAAACGTGACGTCCTGAGAGGACAGAACACGGCGCGAGGTGGGGTGGTAAAACTGCCAACCAGGCGCCACAGGGGGGAAGCAAAGGAAGACACAGGGAATAGCATGGGAGGACAGCTTGTCCGCAGACAAGTCGCGGACAAAAGCTCGAGATCCCCAGACACGGAACGCAGACGCATCGCCACCCTTCCCCATCCACCGCAGAGTAGGTGTGGTCTCCGGCACGGAGACCCGGGGCTGGAGGTTGATCTGATGCGCCGCGTACTGAACCGCGAACGGCCACAGAAAATGGGGAGCAGCCGCATGGATCATGGACGTACGAGCGACGTCCATGACCATGCCAATGCGGCGCTTAGCAATCCCATTTTGCTGTGGAGAGGCCGGAAGCGTGAACGTCTGGCGGATGCCCTCCGCACGACAGAAGGCCTGCAGAAGGTCGGAGGAAAACTCTCCACCCCTGTCGGAGTGCAGACGCAGAATAGGAAGGTCCTAGCCGAAACTCTTGCTGAGCTGACGATGGGCAGCGTGGATCCAGTCAATCAGCACCTCAGTGACCTCACCCTTGCGGCGCAAGGGGAAGACTGTGGTGTAACGCGAGTAGTCATCAACGACCAGCAGAAAGTAGCGCTCGTGACCCTGACCACGGTCGCGGGCTGGGCCCCACACGTCCATGTGAAGAGTCTGCAAGGGAGCCTCCGTGGGAGGAAACTCGGAGGAGTGAGGGGCGGCGCGCTGCCGCCCCTTGACGCAAAGAACGCAGGTAGGGGCACGCCCCGGGGGGAGGGGAGGGAGAGACCAGGGAAGACCAGTGACAAGAACACAGGAGGCCATGCCTCGGAGACGAGGCAGGGAGGGGTGACCAAGGCGGTGGTGCCAGAGGAAAGTCTGGTGAGACAGGAGGCGACACGAGCAGGAGGCAGACTCGGGACCAGACCTGGACGCTGCAGCAAACACCTGACCC